TTGTCCTAGCTCTCTCCCCGCCGCCGTTTTTGCAGCGCCGAAGATTGGCAATTTCTCGCAGAGATTAGCTCACTTGATTAACGCATCCGAAGTAATTGGTTAATATTCAGTTCGATAAGGGGCGTAACCCCGACATCTATGTGAGAAGCTTCCGCAAGCATTCGTCACACGCAATTATGTTACGGACGAAATCAGCCTAACGATGGAACGTCGCCGAACCCGTCGCTGCTCTTTGCCAGCATCCTCGGCGCACCCGCCGATGACCTCAGTGGGGCCATTGGCCCGTCCTATGCATATCATTTGGAGATCGACATCGTGGCGACGAACTTCGTGTATTGATGAGCAGTTACTGTTTCCTGGTATGCCGATGAACGCAAGAAAACGGCGAAGTCCGTCACGGTCAAAACGTATGGGTGCTAATCTTGGACACTTTTCTCCACCCGCTTCGAGCGGATCTACGTGTTTCGTTTTTGACGAGGAGCTGCCAAACCGACCAAAAAGCATGACATCCTCCTATACGGTAAGTAAGAAGGAAATATTAGCAATATTCTGATAGTAGATTTGAAAGTAGAGTTTCTAGAAAGTGGCATCATGTTTTTTCGTTGCGTTACAGAGTAATTGTCACGGCAGCATCAATCAAAATGTTAATTGACCTTCTGTGCAGTTCGTTTCTGGTTCTTTGTGTTAGAAGTCAAGTGATAGGATCAATATCATAAAAAATTCCATAATTATTTTTCAAATAATATGAATTAATTTACTCTCATCCTCAAATATTCACGGCTTGTTGCTTTCAGTAAAGTTCTTCATGTTCTCTCTCATACTGTTTGATGCCGAGCGCTCCACGGCCACACTTGTTTTGAATGCCCTCATGTAGGCGAAAAAAAATCTTCACAGCTAATATAGATCCCTACAGAACTTAAATTCTGCAAACTATGATGACTGGCCGATGTATGTAATCTCTTCTTTTTATATTTTGCCAAGCCATCTTTTGAAGAAAAAAAAGGCATAAAAGGGAAAAGTTTAAAGAATACCAATTTTTTGAATGTCTTGAAAAATGTCAAAAGTTATAGAGTTTCAAATACGACTAAGTAATTATATCTGTGTGGCAAAGTAAGAGTCCTTTAAGTCGAGCTTTCACTTTATACAAGTTTTTTAATGTTTCAAATCAACTTTTCAGCTGTCAAAGTTTGCTCCGATATGTTCCATTATTTTCTTTCTGTGAAAGAATATATGTTCAATTTTTGCCGTGAAATAGTTCTCGTTGAGATGTGTTCGAATTTCAGCTGACATCAACAGTGTTGCTAATTGGGACCAAGCATGTCATAATGTATATAATATATAACATAAAAGTCTCAGGTTTCAGTGTGTCCTCTAGTTAGCGTTAGAACATGGGGCTGGGTGAAAACGACAATCACTGATGAACTCTCCAAAAACATTTGCGATGCAAACAGAACTCTTGATATCTTATTTGCTGAATACCATGATGTACATAGTTTCTAGCTTACACACCATTGATAATCTCGGCTGAATAGAAATACACACGGGTGAATCTGCAAATTGAATGGCAAAGCGAGAACGAAAACAGCCACTCCCTTGCATTTTCTAAATAAAAAGAAGATGCTGAGCCATCTAATATTTCTTAAAACCAATTTGACTGCATACCTCTTGGGCAAAATGTACTGAGAAATTTTGAGAAATTTGCCTTTCTCGACACAGATCAGTAGACAAATTGTTCATTTGACATAGATGTAAGCTGTTATAAACATTAAAAGTGTGTGTAAATGACTTTCTTGATGTGTGCGGAGATTAGCAAGCTATTAGAGGCTTCAGTGACGCAGTCAAA